ATTATGGCATTGATCATCATGAGGCGGTGGTGATGCTGGCCAGCATGTGATGATGAAGATGAGGAACAAGAATATGATGATGATTTGGTCCAAAAGGCCTTGTGGTGTCAGCGATGGTGGCATTTGCCTGTAGTGATCTACTTGGTGGTACTGGTCACAGTCGTACTGGTGGTTGGGGTTGCAATCGGGGCGATTATCGCGGTGTCTAGTTCATTCTGGGTCTGATGGGTAACTGGCGATGACACCGAAGCTTTGTGATGCCTGAGGTCGTACCAGCATCCGCTTCTCCACCGACCAGTATAGTAAACTGATTTCATTGGTAGCTCTCTGTCGCCTTTGCCTGCTTCAATCATCATCCCTGCCGGCGCAGGAAGTCTGATCAAACCTATCGCTTCGTTCAATTCCAACAAATAACATCTTGGCCACTATCAACAGTGTCTCCAGCTCCATCAACATGGCCGCGGATGCTATCATCAAAGGTATCACCGGCCCCGGCTCCCTGTTGGTGTCACCGATCTTGTTGCTGCACTCCCCAAACCAAAAAAAATAACCTACCACCCACCCGCCCTCGCCCCTCACCGCCCAAGCCCTGGACTCTTACTAGTCTGAGTGCTCTCGAGGTGCGAGCAGATCGCGAGGTCGTCATGGCCGCCGTGCGCAAGGCGCCAGACATCTGTTGAGATGCTTTGCAGCTCAGGGTTTCATGCTTTTGGGATGTCTTCAGGAGAATAGGAAAGGTTTCAGGTCTTCGGTTTTGGCGTTTAAGTCTTAGTGGTCTTTGCAAAAGTAGTTGCGACTAGTGCAACAGCCAGGTCTGTGATTGGTACAGACTGTTTGGAAGGGCTTTGTTTAGTTTGTTTACCAGGGCAGTTTTGGGACCAGTTCTCCTGACTTGGGCTTGTGCATCGCAGCTTTGTTTCAGGTGTAACGCAATTCTTGTAGCGGCCCCATGGGGTGTTTGAGTGTCTTGGAGGGGCAGGCCAGGCGGAGTGTACTTCAACATGTGGCTTTGCTGTCTTATGCGGGACATTCTGGCCAAGCAATGCCGCAAAACCGAACTTTCTCGGTAGGAAATACAACACAAAGTTCCGTCAAATTTAAGTGGGGCGCACAAGCAGCCCCAGACGAGAACAGTACGGCGGTGCAACCGAGGTGGCCAGGCTCGTTCTGCTAAAGCACAAAGGCGAATACTTGCCAACAGCTGCAGTGTGGTGATCTTTCGATCTCGCTTTGCTTACTTGTCTGGAAGAAGTCTAAGACTGCCCAATCTGAACGTTGCAGGATACTCTTCAAGAGGTCCTTGCACAGATTCGCGACGACGGCAAGCTAGAACTCGATGATGGAAGCTGAAGTCAAGATATGGTGCCGTGTCGCGTGTAGCCCCCCCCCCCCCCCCC